CGCGACCTCGCTCACCTTGACTAGCACCTGGCTCCTGCGTGCGGGACTCCCGCCCAGCCGGAGCCTCCCCACCTCACTGCAGAGCTGGGGGGCGGTGCTACCCATCGGAGCAAAACTTGAGCCGGCAGCTGAGCTGCCCTGGAAGACGAGGACAGCAAGCCCCTAGAAAGGCCACCCAGGGCAGCCCAGAGAGAGACAGAGAGACGCTGTCTGCCTGCCGGTCCCAAAGACAGACCCCCATCTCTTTTGTTTTGTTTTCTTGTCTTGCCCGTTCCTTGTAGGCGACGACCCCGGGACTTGGTTCTGTTCATCTTGCATGTGAGATCTGAACCGGAGCGGAGGAATCTAAAGCCATCACCATGGATTTTGTCATGAAACAAGCTTTAGGAGGTAAGCCTAGATTTGTGCATGTCATGCGGCGGATCTGATAAGGGCTTGGGTTCTCTCTGTCACTTCGTCGCTGTCCCCTCACTTTTTCACGTGCGTCTGCAGCACGCCCGGATAGGAATTTTCCCCTTTAAAATCACATGGGAGAATTCGCTGGAGAACCCCAAATGCAGTGCCACTGAGCAGATGAAGCAATATTGTGTTGCATCGCACTGCCACAACTTATTTTCTTTTGAATGCGTCCTGCAAATGTCTTCACAATATACCAAACATTCTGGCACTCATACATCTGGCAAAGCAGCAAGGAGTACGTTTACTGCTTTGAACTCCAGGGGGCAGCAGGCAGTGGACTACCATAGGACCTGGTTCAAGTCAATGGGAATTTTTCCACTGACTTCAATGGACTTTGAATCGGGTCCATAATCCATATGGCCCTGGGTGCCCCAGGCAAGCAGACACATTTTCATCTCTAGCAGCTGGTCACCCATACAAAACAGCCTTTGTTGCTCACAATAGTATGCTGCCTTCAACGACTATGATTGTTTCAACCTGGTGTGCTAGTTATAGATCTGCTTGCTGTTAGCAGATTTTACATATCCAGAGTAAGGCCAAACTAAGTGGCAAAATTCAGTATGTGAGATCTCACCCTGAATTCTATTACAGGCATGAAGCTCTGTTCAAATTTTGACTTAAAGTCAAATAGTGCAGATATTTCAAACTGCGCACAAGACTAGTCAGGTTTCTAGGACTACTGCAACAGAGAGATCCACTGATCTGAGCCAAAGACCTTTCTCCAAAGGTGTGCTGTTAGAGCCTGATCTTTAACATTGCATAAACACAGCTACTATTGCATGTAATAAACCTGTCTAATTATACAATGCAAACAACAAAATGAAATAAAAGCACTCATGATATTAATAAAGGAATTCCCTCATTCTGTTGGCATTATGCTGCCTCTGTGACCCATTCTGATTCAGCAGAAATGCCGCAAGTCGCATATTTGATATTGCTGGCTGTATGTTAGGTTCATGGGATATTAAGGCCTAATTGGAGGTCAGCGGTACAATTTAGATTTATTCATTTTGTTTCTTATCTGTTCTTTTTTACTTTAGATAAATTATATTGTCATCAGACCTACTGCAGTTATTTTGTACTTGTTATTGATATCATTTGCTGTTTAAACTGATGATAGATTTTTACCACGAGTCGCTTTTCGTTCTAAGAATATTCCGTATTTACCTATAAAATGCAATAAAGAAGCCATTTTAGATTGAAAAAATAGAGCAATAAAATGCCTGACTCTGCATTGAGGGTAAAAAGGTTACATTTTAATTTCTTTTTCTTCACTTTAATTTCTTATGGGTTTCACCTGCCGGTTAGGTAGACTATACCTAAGCACATAGTTGATGCCAGGGACTTGCATGTTGCTTACCAGTGTGTTGCCATATTTAATTTAAAATTCAAAGCACACTTTAAAAGGGAAATAATTTCACTGAGTTCTGCTACGCTTACTCAAGCTGAATAGTATCAGTAGTATCCCATTGAAATTAATGGGATTACTCACAGAATGCAGTACTCAGCAGTGCATTTATGGGTGGGAGAATCAGACTTGTTGGACCACTTACACTGATTAAAGGTGGCATAATTTTTCCCTTGCTGGAGGAAGGAGAATATACAGAAGAAAAAATATGAAATGTTTTATGATGTGGAATTGTACTTAATATGTAACAATTAAGGTGCACAGCCGTAACTCTGGATTTGAAATTACTTAGAAGGAAGTGATTGCCCATGGAATAGCTAAGGATCAAAGTCCAGCCTGGCATCAATCCCAACAAAATGCCATGTGCCAATCTCAATATTTGCATTATGATGTTAGCATTTAAAAAAGCAGTATTTTAAGATTGTCGGCTGTCTGTGGTTTTGACATTTTTGAGGTGTCAAGGACATACTGCTGTTGGATGCAGCATCATTCACTCTGTCTCTTACAGGGATTGATTAATACCTAATAGACTCGCTCATCACATGCCTAGATTTTTCCCATTTGCCAGCTAAAGAGAAATAACTGCAGCACTGTTGAAAAAACAAGAAATGTTAATTAATGATAGCCAAGTGCCACAGCCAATGCTGTTAATGGGTTTCAGTTTTTCCAAGTGGAATTACTACAGATACATAAAATCACAACTCAGGATCACTCAACCAGCTGTTTCAACATAACATTTTCATCACTGAACAGCACTGACACATGCATTATGCCTAAACAGCTGGCAGAATGTTTTAATTTTATTTGTCTTATGCATTGAACCCGCATGCTTTGCTGCAGATCTTTTAATAGTATATGAATAAATATATATTCACATACTGCACAATGAAACAAGAATGCTGAGGTCCCAAGGGGAAGTCATTTTGCAGAGCAGAAACGCTTTCTGGTGTCAGTTTTCTTGTGCATTTTAAAAACAAGAATTGATGTCTAAACATGAATGGATATTGCAAGGACCTGGCCCTTGTTTCCACAAAAGGTTTTATGCTAAATATTCAAGTTTATTATTTATAATTAAGGGCCAACCTATTCTTTTCCCAGTGAACATCCAATGAATCTTTTCAGATTAGTGGGGAAACTCTCACTGGTTTCAGTGGTGCAGGGTGGAGCTCATGAAGGGCAACTATATTAGAATGATAGTGTCTTGCATAAGTTACAGAGTGCCTTTTTCACAGGATTGTCACTCATACATTTTTCTTACACAGCTTTGTCTTTCTGGCATTCTGATTAATATCCCCTTAACCTGAATTCTTCTCCTCTATCCAAGAACTTCTTTTTATTGCATAAAATTACATATTCAAGGCTTGATTCACCTTTTTTTGGTTTTGAACCTTGTAGTTACGTGAGGCTTTGAAGTGGCCAGTTTGGGTAAAATAACTGCCTACAAACATGGGGGACTCCGTTCAATGGCTGAGGAAGCCCCTTCCAGGCCAGTGCTCCACCACGGAAATTGGAACGAATACGTTGCAACTTCCTGGGGACATTTTCCCAGTTTCATTTATCTGGAAGGATGATATTCCTCTGTGAACTTCTAGAAGTAAATAGGACAGCCTTTTCTCATGTGATCGCTATGTAAATGGCATGTTCTTCTCTTGTGTTCAACAGAAAATATTTGCAAATAAGAAGCACCTGCAGCCAGATTTTGTAACGCTCTGTGCAACTGGAATTGAGGCCAGAGCTCTGTGGAGATAAATGCACCAGCTGAGGATCTGGCTCTGAATTCTTCTAACCAAGTGTGTGGTGTGAATCTGAAAAGCCTTATGTCTATGAATAGTGCCAATCTGGACAGATCTCAGAGGCTTTTTGGCCTTTGGAAATAGGACCCCTTGTTGATAGAAAGGTTGAAACAAAGCATAAAGAGAACCTCTCAGCGTTCTCTACTCCTTCTCCCTTCCTGGTGCGTTTTCACATGGAACAGGCTGGTTTGGATTAAAATAATAAATTGCAATATTTAGCCTAATGTTTTTGTGGGAGCTAGGACCTAGACTTTGAATTGGTACCTGAAGACATTTCATCTGGCTCTAAAGCATCTTGACAGGCAATTCACATTTGCCCTATGGATGTTTCCAATCAGACTAACACAAGGCTGGAAGATGTTCAGGGGTATGGATTGATTCTTATTAGAGTTGACTGCCTAGTGAAGACAATTATCTGTGGTAGGTCTGGTGAATTAGAAACTAAAGCGTGATTGGTTTTCACTGAATCACAAGAGATACATTTTTATGCCTAAACAATTAGTTTTGGAGGGAAATTGTATTCTGAGGTGGATGCAGAAATAGAAAACACCTTTTACCACCCAATCTGTTTGTGCTTAGACTCCTATGCATTTGCACTAGATAACTATTCTCTGCTATCACCTTTAGTACCAGCTGATGAGAATGAAGCAATAGTGCTGGAACCTACACAAGGACTGACCCTTGACATCTGCATGGGCCTTAAAGTCTCTCTTTATCATGGATCTGTCTCCTTCCACAGCTACTGTGCTTGTGATAGTGTGCACTAATAGCCAATAAAACAGTGTGTCAAACACTGCCTAAACACTGCTTAATTAACACAGTAGAGAGGATGAGACCCATTGACATTTTTCTCAGAGCCTTGCTACAGAGACTGTTCCATCTTACCCTTGCAGTATTGTAGTGATGGTTGGTAGAAAAAGGGAAATCAATTCATTAAGACCTTTGCAGGTGCTGTGTTATATAAAAATACTGTCCCATATGAAACGTTTAGAAACAAAAACAGCATGGTATTTCTCCCACACTTATGGCCAGAGCCCTGACACGGAGGCTTATACAGGGCTAGAGCCACATGAGTACATACACATATACTGCAGTTACTACTTTGTACAAATAACAGTGGCAAATGGTGAGAGAGAACAGAAACCTGGAGACCAGTAAATTGCACTCTTATACTTGACAGACTCAGCAAATACAGTTGTGCTGTACCTCACCAGTGCAGCACGACTGAGAGCTACTGTTTGGCAAGCCGAGCCTCAGAACCCCAAAACAACACAATTATAGTAGATCAACCAGAATATAGGATTTCACCGTGCAAAAGCCCTAATAATAATAATAAGAGCTCTAGCATACACAGTGTTTTCAAACAGGGCATGCTATGCATAAGTTTTCTGTGAATCTGAGAATGTGATGGGACAAATGAAATTTTAAATCTGACCTACTATAGAATACACAGATAGCTCAGTACCTCTGTCACTGATATCTTAAACAAAGTCTATGCAACTCACCTTAACCAAGAAAGAATGAGCCTTATGCCTCCTAAGGCTGCGGGCCTGATACTTCTTACTGCTACAAATCATTCCTCTTCCATTTTCTGAGAGCATCCCAAGCCAAGTGGTGTGCTTAAGGCTTTGCCTTATTTTAATGCTTATTTGTTTAGAAAGAAAATAACAGCTTTGGTTAGACCCAGTTTCCTAACAGAAACACTAAAGTCTGGGTGCCTCAGTGCACCA